ACTCCTGATCTCAGCTCGGGTCTTGATCTCAGGGTCGTGAGTTTAAGCCCTGTGTTGGGCTCCACACTGGGTGTGGAGCCTGCTTAAAAAAAACATTCTGTGTTTGTTTTGCCCACGGTGTTTCTTCTGCTTAGAATGCCTTTCCCACACCCCAGTTTTACTTTTTTTTTTTTTTTAAGATTTTATTTATTTATTTGACATCGCTTCTCAGCCTTTTGGCTAAGATCAAGTGTATTTATTTGACAGAGAGAGAGAGCAAGAGAGGGAACACAAGCAGGGGGAGTGGGAGAGGGAGAAGCAGGCTTCCCGCTGAGCAGGGAGCCCGATGCGGGGCTCGGCCCCAGGACCCCGGGATCATGACCTCAGCCGAAGGCAGACGCTTAACGACTAAGCCACCCAGGTGCCCCAGTTGATTGATGTCAAGCTTTCCAGGGCCCCTATAAATAATAAGTTGGCATTTCATCCTTTAACACTTTGTATATACCTTTAGTATAAGGCCTACCATCATGGATTCCAATTATTAGTTGACAGTTCTCTTTCTTCTAGACTCTGAGCTCCTTGAGGACAGAGACTTGCCTCACATGCTTCAGTATCTCCAGCCCTGAGCCCTGTGTCTGACCATGTTAGGTATTAACGTATGTGCTGGGTAAAATTGACACAAGAATGAAGTTTTTATGTATGTGCCAAGAAGGCAAATCGAAGTGCTGCGCAGTCACTATGATTTTACAAGGATTCCTGCCACACGATGGTAGATGGTCCCCCTTTTGAACAGTGTCATACTTGGACATTCCAAAGTTAGGAGGATGTGTTCATGACATATATAATGATACTTCCTATTATATGTTATGCTAACTGTATGATTAAGATATTCTTAGATTTTAACAGTTAGCCTTTTACTTACCATCCTAGCTGAGCAATCTAAGTGAAGAATCATGCAATCCTACAGAAGTGGGTGGGGCTTCTCACCAAACACCTTGGAGTATTAGCTTGATGTGAAATACCACATGCCCTATGTGGAGGTGGGGCCTTGTGGGAGTTTCAGAGTGCTGTGAACTGGGGTGTTTTGGAAGAAGCAGTAGTTTTGAGGTGGAAGGACAAAATAGGTGTCAGCATGGAACTAAGCCAAGATGGAAACCACCGTTTAAAACCATAGTACATGGGGGCACCTGGGTGGCTCAGTCGGTTGAGTGACTGCCTTCGGCTCAGGTGGATCGAGCCCCGCATTGGGCTCCCTGCTCAGCAGGAAGCCTGCTTCTCCCTTTCCCTCTGCCTGCCCCTCTGCCTACCTGTGCTCTCTGCCTCTCTGTCAAATAAGTAAATAAAAAATATCTTTAAAAAAATAAAAAATAGAAAATAAAAAAATAAAACCATAGTACATGTTTTGCCAGATCTGAGACTACCCAGTCAGGCTGGGTAAAGAATTGGAATAATGTATGGGCTTCAGAAAAGCCAAATAGGATGAGAATAAATGAGTCAGGAGAGAAAGTAGATTCTACAGGGGCCCAGGGCAGAGACCCCAAGGAAGGCAAAAGAAGCATCAGCCAAATATGTCATTGATCTATAACCAGTGAAGGATGGAGTCCCGCTGTCTGCTCAGGGTGGCCCCCTCTCCTTCAGGGGCAGAGAGGAAGCCGCAGATTCCAGTACATTTAATTCCATTTTTATTCATAGACTTAATCCCTCACACTTCTAGGAAAGATTCAAGAACAATTACAATTAAAGGAAGGGTAAACAAGAGTAGAAGAACTAAGGTTAAATAAAGAAAATGAGACCATAGTCACACCAGAAACCCAGGCTAACTATGTCTACAACAGGCGATGATGAGAGTTAGTTCTAAGCTTCCTTGTCTTGGGAATAGAAGAATTTGTTAGTAGTAATGTAGTTTTTCCTATGGCTAGAAGAGATCAAAGAATTAACCAAATGGATCCTAAAGTATAAAGGACGCTAAATAACATAATGGGCACAACTTACAATAGCTTTAGAAAAGGGTAAAAAGAAATTCGTAAGTGGCCATCTGGTCTCTCCACGACTGAATGAATGCCATGGGTTAAAGGTGGGACTCCAGGGCTAGGAAGACCTTGCCACTGGGAGCTAAAGAAGTATCTTCAAGCTCTGCTGCTTTCTGGACATCACTTGATAAAGAGAGAGAGGCTGGATGAATAGCTAGTCAGTATGGCCTTTAGACCAGAGGGAGGTTTTTGGTTTTAACTGCAGGACTGATCTGTTAGTGTACAGTGAAATTAGTTTAGTGAGTTGCCGTTAACCTTTTTTAAATGAGAGACAGTGGAACAGGACAAAATACATTGCACACAGTGCACGCAGTAAGGTTAAGTTTTAATTTTTGTGTCTTAGATCCCTACAGACCATGTATTTCTTATATAATATTCTATCCCTCATTAAAATATTAATTGGTAGGCTCTGGCCATCCCAGGCTTATGGTATAAAATATATAGAAAGAATAACAAGAATTACGCTCTGGCAAGAACAGAGATAAGATCCTTGAACCAGAACAAGAGCCACTATGCCTTTAAATTGTGCTAACTTAGGAACCTGTGACTGGACTCAGTATTTTTTTATTGAAATATAATTAACATACAGTGTTATATTAGTTTCAGGTATATAATGATTCAACAGTTTTGTTTTTTTTTTTAAGATTTTATTTACTTATTTGACAGAGAGAGAGACACAGCGAGAGAGGGAACACAAGCAGGGGGAGTAGGAGAGGGAGAAGCAGGCTTCCCACTGACCTGGGAGCCCGATGCGGGGCTCGATCCCAGGACCCTGAGACCATGACCTGAGCCGAAGGCAGACGCTTAACAACTGAGGCACCCAGGCACCCTGATTCAGCAGTTCTGTACATTGCTCAGTGCTCATCACAATAAATGTATGCTTGATCCCCTTTATATCTAGTTCACCCCTCCTCCCACCCACCTCCCCCTGGTAACCATCAGTTTGCTCTCTGTACTTAAGAGTCTGTTTTTTTTGTCTCTTTTTTTTCCCTTTGTTCACTCGTTTTATTTCCTAAATTCCACATGTGAGTAAAAATCATATGGCATTTGTTTTCTCTGACTTATTTCACTTAGCATCATACCCTTTCGGTCTATCCATGTTGTTGCAACGGCAACATTCTTTTTTATGGCTGAGTAGTACTCCTGTGTTTGTGTTTCAGTGTGTATGTGTATCACATCTACTTCATCTATCAGTGGACACGTGGACTGCTGCCATATCTTGGCTATTGTAAATAATGCTGCCATAAACATAGGGGTGTGTATATCTTTCCAAATTAGTGTTTTCATTTTCTTTGGGTAAATACCCAGTAGTGGAATTACTGATGCTGGGAAAACTGGTTGGCTACATGTGAAAGAATGAAGCTGGACCACTTTTTTACACCACACACAAAAATAAACTCAAAATGGATTAAAGACCTAGATGTGAGACCTGACACCATAAAAATCCTAGAAGAGAGCACAAGCAGTAATTTCTTTGCCATCAGCCATAGAAACATTTTTCTAGATATGTCTCAGGCAAGGGAAACAAAAGCAAAAATCAACTGTTGGGACTCACCAAAATAAAAGGCTTTCACACAGCAAAGGAAACCATCAACAAAACAAAAAGGTAACCTACCAAATGGGAGAAGATATTTGCAAAGGATATATCTAATAAGGGGTTAATATCCAAAATATATAAGAATTTATACAACTCAGCACCCAAAAACCACAAATAATCCAATTAACAAATGGGCAGAGGACCTGAATAGACATTTTTCCAAAGAAGACCTACAGATGGTCGACAGACATAGGAAAAGATGCTCAACATCACTCATCATCAGGGAAATGCAAATCAAAACCACAGTGAGATACCACCTCACACCTGTTAGAATGGCTAAAATCAAAAAGATAAGAGACAACAAGTGTTGATGAAGGGTTGGAGAAAAGGGAGACCTTGTGCACTGTTGGTGGGAATGTAAATTCCCACTATGGAAAAGAGTATGGACATTCCTCAAGAAATTAAAAATAGAGCTACTGTATGATCCAGCAGCCCCTCTTCTGGGTATATATTCGAAGGAATTGAAATCAAGATCTTGTAGAGATGTCTGCAAATCAAAACCACAGTGAGATAGCACTAGACTCAGAGGCATACTTTCCTGTTTTCGTGTGTTGTTTCTTTTTTGTGTGCCTTCAATACCTCACAGAGTTGTTTTTGAAAACCCTTAATCTACCTTGGCTATCCTGAAAGGGAAATCCTGAAAAGGAAATAAGGGCCAGTAGCGCAGAGAGGCAGGGCACCCCTGGTGGTCAGACTTGGTCATGCAGACTGAGGCTTTCCATCCAGAGACCTTTCAGAGCCACAAATTAGGAACGGCTTCTCCAGTTCTTCTCTGAGCAGGCAATACCTTTATATATAGGTACTGCTTACTTACGGAAAGCTTTAAAAAAAAAGAAAATCATCTTCCTGCTTCATAAATGATGTTTGGATCAGATCATCAGGATTATCTGTGAAAATAGGAGGTTGTAGCAGGACCATAGCACTACTCAGCTCTAGGAATTCAGTACAGCAGTCTTGAGTGACGAAAAGACCCTAAACATTTGTGGAGAGAAACCCTTCTCCTCCCAAATTCAGACGTGTATATATAGCTACAGCTTTGGAGAAAGAGTTCTGGGAGGATTTCCAACTATAACAACTATTAGCGATGGTATGAGAAACAGACTGGGGCGAGATCAAGATTTAGCTTCAAATGTTGACTCCAAGTCTTGCAAGTAACAGCAGAATGAGATAAAAACCTGTATTTTCATACCAAAAAAAAAAAAAAAGTGTTTCAAACGTGTTGAAAATTGTCTAGAAATAAACTACTTGTTGGGGTACCTGGCTGGCTCAGTCGGTAGGGCGTGCAGCTCTTGAGGGGTCGTGAGTTTGAGCCCCACACTGGGCATAGAGCTTACTTAAAAAGAAAGAAACTACTTGTGGGAGGGTCTCTGATCATCTGTCTCCTCTTGTTTCAGATGACAGTCATGTCCCTTTCCAGGGACCTCAAGGACGACTTGCACAGTGACACAGTGCTCTCCATCTTAAATGAGCAGCGCATTCGGGGCATTTTGTGTGATGTCACTATTATTGTGGAAGACACCAAATTTAAAGCGCACAGCAATGTCCTAGCTGCTTCAAGCCTTTATTTCAAAAATATCTTTTGGAGCCATACGATCTGTATTTCCAGCCATGTCCTGGAACTGGATGATCTCAAAGCTGAAGTGTTTACAGAAATCCTTAATTATATCTACAGCTCCACAGTTGTCGTCAAGAGACAGGAAACAGTCACCGATCTTGCAGCTGCAGGAAAAAAGCTGGGAATATCCTTCTTGGAAGATCTTACTGATCGCAACTTCTCAAATTCCCCCGGTCCCTATGTATTCTGCATTACCGAAAAGGGAGTGGTTAAAGAAGAAAAAAATGAAAAAAGGCACGAAGAACCTGCCATCACCAATGGGCCAAGGATCACCAATGCATTTTCTATCATTGAGACAGAAAATAGTAATAACATGTTTTCTCCACTGGACTTGAGGGCAAGTTTCAAAAAGGTCTCCGACTCCATGAGAACCGCTAGCCTCTGCCTGGAGAGGGCCGACGTGTGTCACGAGGCGGAGCCCGTCCGCACCCTAGCGGAGCACTCGTATGCTGTTTCTTCCGTGGCCGAGGCCTACAGAAATCAGCCTGCCCGTGAACATGACAGCAGCTCCCCTGGTAAGACAGGTAAAGAAAATTGTGACGCTCTTGCAGCAAAACCGAAAACATGCCGAAAGCCAAAGACAGTGTCCGTACCCCCGGATTCTGACTCAGCTACAGACAGTATACCACCCCCTCCGGTAACCAGCTTAGAGGTTCATCAAGAAAGAAGCCCACAGCCAGCTGCAGTCCTGCCTCGTTCGAAATCTCCCAACAAAGAAGGAGATGTCCGTTTTTCCAAGGAAGATGCAAATAAATCCTCGGATGTTCCTGGGCCACCGGCGGCAGAGGTCCCACCTCTCGTCTACAATTGTAGCTGTTGTTCCAAATCCTTTGACAGTAGCGCACTGCTCAGTGCCCACATGCAGCTTCATAAGCCAACCCAGGAGCCGTTGGTGTGCAAGTACTGCAACAAGCAGTTCAGCACTCTGAACAGGCTGGATCGGCACGAGCAGATTTGTATGCGGTCCAGCCACATGCCTGTTCCTGGAGGAAACCAGCGCTTTTTAGAAAACTATCCTACCATTGGACAGAATGGAAGTTCATTCACGGGTCCAGAACCTCTGTTGTCTGAAAACAGGATTGGTGACTTTTCTAGTACCGGAAGCTCCTTGCCAGAAACGGACCACATGGTTAAATTTGTGAACGGGCAGATGCTCTACAGTTGTGTTGTTTGCAAACGGAGTTATGTGACTTTGTCCAGCCTCCGAAGGCATGCAAATGTTCACTCGTGGAGAAGAACCTATCCTTGCCATTACTGCAACAAAGTATTTGCATTGGCCGAGTACAGGACAAGACATGAAATTTGGCACACAGGAGAAAGGCGCTATCAGTGCATTTTCTGCCTTGAAACTTTCATGACCTACTATATTCTCAAGAACCATCAGAAGTCTTTCCATGCCATAGATCATAGACTTTCCATCAGTAAAAAAACAGCCAATGGAGGCCTGAAGCCTAGCGTCTATCCATATAAACTTTACAGGCTACTGCCTATGAAATGCAAGAGGGCTCCTTATAAAAGCTACCGAAATTCTTCCTATGAAAATGCCCGAGAGAACAGTCAGATGAATGAGTCTGCAGCTGGCCCCTATGTTATTCAGAATCCACACAGCTCTGAGTTACCAACATTGAATTTCCAGGACCGCGTAAACACCTTGACCAACAGTCCCGCCATCCCCTTGGAAACGTCTGCACGTCAGGAGGTACCCACTTCTGCCAACGTACAGAATGCAGAGGGGACCAAATGGGGAGAGGAAACGTTGAAAGTGGACCTCGGCAATCACTTTTATTCCGCCGAGGTGTCCGTTTCTTCCACGGAGAACGCTGGCAGCTCTGACCTGCCGGTAGGGGATGTACCCGTTTCATCTCTGAGTAACGGCAGTGAGCACGCAGCCTCCGTGATCAGCTACAGTGGCTCAGCACCCTCGGTCATTGTGCACAGTAGCCAGTTCTCATCGGTGATAATGCACAGCACCGCCGTTGCCGCCGTGGCCAGCAGCAACCACCGAGCCCCTTCAGACCCGGCTGTCAGTCAGGCCCTGAAAGACGACAGCAAACTTGAGCCCGATAAAGTGAGCAGAGTGGTCAGCAGGCCCAAGAGCATCAAGGAGAAAAAGAAAACTGTGCTGTGTAACAAGGCAGAGGTAGCAGACGAGTCCAAGTACGTGGCTGATCCCGGAGGGTCGCTGAGCAAAACCACAAATGTTAAAGAAACCAGTAAAATCGAAACCTACATTGCAAAGCCCGCTCTGCCTGGAACCTCTACAAACAGCAATGTCGCGCCCCTGTGCCAGATAACAGTGAAAATCGGAAACGAAGCCATCGTGAAAAGGCACATCCTAGGATCTAAGCTGTTCTATAAAAGAGGAAGAAGACCCAAGTACCAGATGGAGGAGGAGGCTTTGCCACAGGAGAGTGACCCGGAAACCAACAGAGCCAGCCCCCTCGGGCTCTGCCAGTCCGAGTGTGTGGAAATGAACGAAATGTTTGACGACGCCAGTGACCAGGATTCCACCGACAAGCCCTGGCGTCCTTACTACAACTACAAACCCAAAAAGAAATCCAGACAGCTGAGAAAAATGAGGAAGGCCAACTGGAAGAAAGAGCATGAAAACAGGAGCCCAAGCAGTAAGTGCAGATACCCGGCAGAACTGGACTGTGCCGTGGGGAAGGCTCCCCAGGAGAAGGCCTTTGAGGAAGAAGAAAATAAGGAGATGCCCAAGCTGCAGTGTGAACTCTGTGATGGAGACAAAGCCTCGGGGGCGGGGAATCAAGGGAGGCCCCACCGGCATCTCACTGCGAGGCCGTACGCCTGTGAGTTCTGTGCCAAGCAGTTCCAGAGCCCGTCCACCCTCAAGATGCACATGAGGTGTCACACCGGAGAGAAGCCATACCAGTGCAAGACCTGTGGGCGGTGCTTTTCGGTGCAGGGAAACTTGCAGAAACACGAACGCATCCACCTGGGCGTGAAGGAGTTCATCTGTCAGTACTGCAACAAGGCATTCACGCTGAACGAGACCCTCAAGATCCACGAAAGGATCCACACGGGTGAAAAGCGTTACCACTGTCAGTTCTGCTTTCAGAGCTTTTTGTACCTTTCCACAAAAAGGAATCACGAGCAGAGGCACATTTGGGAGCATGACGGGAAGGGCTATGCCTGCTTCCAATGCCCCAAAATTTGCAAAACAGCTGCTGCCCTTGGAATGCACCAGAAGAAACACTTATTCAAAAGTCCAAGTCAGCGGGAGAAAGTAGAAGGTGACATGTGCCAGGAGAACTCAAACCCCCTGGAGAACCCACATGTCAATGACTCAGAAGACAGTGACCAAAAGGATAACGTACAAACCATTGTTGAAAATGTCCTTTGAGTGGCGATACTTAGAAAAGTCTTCAAAAATATAAGTTGGTGGGTTTGTTGTTTGGGGGTTTTTTTTTGTTTTTGTTTTTTAGTTAGCTGTTTTCTTCTGTTGTTTTTTTTTTTTTTTGAAGTTTTGTTCACGCAACAGTCATGAAGGAGTGAAATGTAAAAAAAAGAAAATCTCATTTGTGAAAATTCCAGAAAAAAGGATCCTAATACCTACTTTGGGTTTTAGCATTAACTTCATGCAAAGTGCACAAAAACGAAATAGCCGAATCCTCCAGTATCCCAAGTATCTTGTGGAAGTTTATGAAGTTCTTAGCTGTGGTATTTTTGCCAGTGGGGGTGGGGGGTAAGAGTCTAATGTTAGCCTAATTTAAAACTTTCTAGTAAGTGCTGATAGGAACTGGCTGCTGAGCTGTCTTTAGTCCACTGGAGAAAACGAGGGTCAGATATCATGAAAACATCATCTTCATAAATATGTTAGAAGGTAAATGAGCTATGACAGTCATTTTTCCCATCTGGCTTCTGTGCTATTAAAAATTGTTTAAATTAGTGGATATATATGAAATATTTAATATTATAGCTGAAAATACGTGTGAAATTGAGTAACCTAAGTAGGACATTCATTATCTAGAACTACTTTTCTGCAACACAAACCTTGTAAAATACATATATAAATCACTATGACTTTTAACTGTCCATGTCCCCTGTAGAGAATTATAATGGCGAGCAATAGATCTGCAAATAATGAGGACTGATGGAAAAATCGGTAGAAAGCATCTCGAATCTGATTTAAGAGCATATTGTATGCTTTTAAATGGAATGCTGTTCCCTTGAAGTTATGGCTAAGCTATTACTAGAACTGGTCTGCTCCAGTCACAGAAAACATAGGTCATGCCTTATCTGTGGGGGAGAGCCCTCCCAGAACTTTTCTGTGATTACCTGTGCTGTGTATTACTTTGCAGTGGCCTCACCTCAGAAAATAAAGAAGGGTCAAATTCTTCTGAAACTCCCTGCAGTCTTCCATCCATCGCAAGGCCATGGATATGGGGGTCTATTTCAGACAGACTTAATCAGTCTCAAGGGTTTACGTAAAACCTGACACCTCCCATTCCACTGAAGGGAGTGTCCAGGAGATTTAGTGCAAAGCATGCGTATGGTGGTGAATTCCCAGGCACTTGAAAGTGACAGAAAGCCTAATCCCTATAATCGTTAGCCTTCTTGGAGATTATACAGCCCACAAATGTCCACTAGTATGAAACAAAAGGACATCAGAAACACACCTCCCACCTCACCCATTAATGACTTGAGTGGGCAAGAGATGGCGATGACCTTCCTTGCCTCAAACAGGAGCTTTGCTTTTTGGGGGTGGGGTGGGGAGATAGAATGTGGAGTGATAAGATTCCATCACCTACTTACATGACTCAGAAACCTATCCCCAAAGCCAGATGCCTTGTCTTCATGTTTGCAGACATCTAGCTCCCTTGCTAAAAACCCACTTAAGTTTTTTCATGTTCTTTTATGCTGACCCACACCATCAGCATTGCCCTCGAAGTCCAGTTGCCCTGTAGGATAGTCCGTCATGTGGACTAGGTTCTGGGAAGCTGGAACTCCTCATTCTTAAATTTAAACTGCCAGGATAGGAGGGAGAGAGAAAACATTCCTACCCTTTGATCAGCAGTGTGAGCAGAATCCGGAACCTGGTTTAAGGGTGACCTACAGCCATTCATGTTCATGGGATTTGATAGATGGAAGCCGAAGGTTATCCAAGGTTGCAAAGTCACCACTATGAAGAAGTAGTTCAAAGGACTCCAGTTCCTCTCTCCAAGCATTGTGATATCTCCACGAAGAAGACTTAATGTGGATTTGGGTGGGCAAGAAAACGTTTAAACACCCAGAAAAGGACATGATCAGAGCTGACCTTTTTATATAGTAGTATTTTGCTGTTAAGTAACCCCAGTACTGCATCTGCATTTATCTTTTGTTCATCTACTTTCACTTACATACAGTATTATGTAACAGAGGAAAATGGGAAAATGCAAGCAAATTCAACCTTATTTTAATACATTGTATATATGTATACCTGCATTATTCATTTGGGTTTTGTTCAAAGAGATAGTCACAAAGGGCTTATGAAAATCATTTCTGAATTGATAATTAGAATAATGAATAGGCAATTCTGTGATCTACTAATTTGTTTTATCTCAATTAGGATTATTAATCAAAGAGAATTACTGTGTATTTCAGTCATTTTGATTTGGGGTAACTCTAAATATAAAATTATTCCATGTAGTGATGTCTCCCAGCCCTTACATGTGGAAATTTTTTAAGTGGACTTGTATGCTGATAATTCTAGACCAAAGTAAATATGGCAGAATATTTATACATGAAAAAATAATTTTGCAAATATTTTCTATAATTGTATTATTCGTTTAAAATGTTGATAGCTTGTGTTAGTTTCAGGGAGGGGTGTATATTTTGATAAAAAAAATACTTGACTTTGTAATTCTGTATATTCTATACAATTTATAGCAGAGCCGTTTTAAGACAGCCTTGTCACATTTTTTTTGTTAATTGTGAAAACTTTATCATGAGTGATGTTTAAGTATGCATTGAGTCCATAACGACCAACTAGAATTAAAGTAGGTGTAAACAGTGAGCATACTGTATGCTGTACAAGATATATTGTAATTTGCCGTTTTAACATCTGTATTTTGGTTAGAAGATATTATTAAATGCAGATGTTAAGGGTTGGAAAAGTCTAATTTTATTTTTAGAAATAATGAATACAAATTTGGTTTTGCTTGATTAAAATAGCTTATTCCTATGTTAAGTCTCTTAAATGTTTTAATGTTAATTCTTTTGTGCAGCCAAGCAGCAGTTTCCTCTTTGTGAGTCACAGCCTTGTTTCACAAATCATTCACTTAGTATTTTTCTGTTTCCTTACTTGTTTGCATTCCATGATACCTACTTACATGCTTAGGACCCAAACGGAATATACATTTAAAAAAAAAAAGGCAAAATAAGAGAGCTGGAAGTCTTCTTATCATTCGGTGCTTTGGACAGGCCTGACCTTGGCATGAGGAATTCGAGAGCCCTGGAAGTGTCTCTGCCCCAGGAGACAGATTCCACTTGGTCCCAGGTGCTTGGCACCGTTCGTCCCATGGGCCATTTCATTCGGGTCTTTCCCGACAAGCCTGGGAAGTCGCCCTCACTATCCACATTTTGTGGTGACTTTGAGAAGATCTCACAGCCAGAGTCAGGATTCCAACGCAGGGCTTCGTGACTTCAGAGCCCATGTCTTCGTTTCTTCTCAGCACCTTAGAGGAAACTGCTTCCTGGAAACCGAGCGGAGAGTAGGAAAGGAGGCGGGAGGAGAGCAGGCGGCTCTAGGACGGCGGTGCCCCAGTGCCGTCTTTCGGGAGGCTGTACTGGCCTCAGCTCTCCCTGGCACACCCCTGCTTTTTGTCCTCACACCTCAACACGTGGGGCATTTGGCTTTCTCCTCGATGTTGGGGTATTGCCCTATAAAACCATTTTTTTAAAAACCTGTGCACTTTTTCCCAAGAATATGGAATAAAATTATCATTTAATGCTGTTCTAAGCTAGTAATTTCTCATCCAAAGAAAACACTGTGTTCTATCATCACAGACCATACCCCTAACCTTGACTCGTTATCTTCAGATGCATGCAGGGGGTCACACTGAGTAGGTCACGTGAAAGGGTGTGCCAGTGGCTCACGCCGCACAATCCATCAGCAACACAGGGAAAATAACTCAGACTTCCAGTCCTCCTCATGGCTGGCCGGTAGCACCAATTTTGTACTGGAAGGGTAATCCAAACCAGATCCAGACCAAAACTTTGATAACTGCTGGCTGTTGAAACTAACGTCATTGATCGAGCAAAACAACAGATTCAATATTGAAAGAATTTGTAACAATTGAGAAAGTAACTGGATTAAAAGCATCAAAACAAATCATGCAAGGCAGTCCTATTTGTACATACTGTATGAATTACTTTGGGTCTTCTTAGTCCTGTTGCTCACCTTCCTCTTTTCTCATCGGCTCCCATCAACTGATTTGGTTCCACGCCCTCTGTCTCCATCAGGTGCTCTTTGCAGAGGCAGTTTCCTCCATGTGTGAGAACTCTTCACCTTCCTCTTCCCCAAATCCTGGTGGGCTATTGATCTCCCTTCTGGAGAGAGGAACCCCCCCTTGTCCCCACTCTCCCCAGTATTCACCCCTTGATGCTGACTCTTCAAGTAAGGTGCTCAGTGGACAGGCAAGTTGGCTTGGTGTGCAACTTTTTAAAATGAAACTCTCCAAATTTAGACAACTAATGGAAGAACTGGTTATAACAGAACTATGATGACACTTTTTTTTTTAAAGATTTTATTTATTTATTTGACAGAGAGAGACACAGCAAGAGAAGGAACACAAGCAGGGGGAGTGGGAAAGGGAGAAGCAGGCTTCCCGCCGAGCAGGGAGCCTGATGCAGGGCTCGATCCCAGGACCCTGGGATCATGACCTGAGCCGAAGGCAGACGCTTAACCCACTGAGCCACCCAGGCGGCCCTATGATTACACTTTTAAAGATTTTTTTAAATTACTATTTCATTCTTGACATCTAAGACCTCAATTCTGTTTATTTAGAATCTTTTGCTGAGGGGCGCCTGGGTGACTCAGTCGGTTAAGCGTCTGACTTCAGCACAGGTCATGATCTCAGGGTCCTGGGATGGAGCCCCATGTCATCAGGGGCTCCCTGCTCAGTGGGGAGTCTCCTTCCCCCTCTGCCTCTGCCTCGCCCCCTGCTCATGCTCACACACTCTCTCTCTCTCAAATAAATAAAATCTTTTTTTTAAAAAAAAAATGTTTTGCTGAGAAGTCAAGAGCATTTTTTTCCCCAACAATTTTAAAAGCTATGACTTCTGTGTAATTATAGGGGTAAGAATGTTATTCCTGTTACAGGAAACTTTGGTATACAGAGGCCTAAAAGATGTAACAATGCTAATTTATGTAGAATTTTCATTCATTCATTCAAAATATGTTTAATTTTGAGTCTCAGGTGTTGTGCCCAGGGCTATAGAGATAGAAGAGGTAGCCTGAGCCTTCAAGGAGCTGGATCCGGGGAAGGAGACTGATGAGGCAAGGCATGATGACAAAACAAAACCCTGAGCTCCTGGGAGCTCGGAAGCAGATTGGACTGTGTTGGGTTATGAGAGAGATGGCTCGGAGCTGGGGCTGAGGGAGCCTGGGAGCTTCCTAGTGCGGGCAGGCCCAGGTAGGAGGGGCTAAAACAAAGGAGCAC